ATCCCCTCATCCAGATCATCAATGAAGATATTGAACAGGACCGGCCCCAGTACTGAGCCCTGGGGAACACCACTCGTGACCAGCCGCCAACTGGATTTGACTCCATTCACCACCACTCTCTGGGCTCGGCCGTCCAGCCAGTTTTTAACCCAGCGCAGAGCGCGCTTATCCAAGCCGTGAGCAGCCAGTCTCTCCAGGAGAATGCTGTGGGAGACAGTGTCAAAGGCCTTACTAAAGTCTAAGTAGGCAACATCCACAGCCTTCCCCTCATCCACTAAGCGGTTCACCTTGTCATAGAAGGAGATCACGTTAGTGAAGCAGGACCTCCCTTTCATAAACCCATGCTGGCCAAGCCTGATCCTCTGGTTGTCCCACACATGCTGCGTAATGGCACTCAGGATGATCTGCTCCATGACCTTCCCTGGCACCGAGGTCAGGCTGACAGGCCTGTAGTTCCCAAGATCCTCCTTCCCACCCTTCTTGTAGAGGAGAATCACATTTGCTAGCTTCCAGTTATCTGGGACCTTGCTGGTTGACCAGGACTGCTGATAAATGATGGAGAGTGGCTTGGCCAGCTTCTCTGCCAGCTCCCTCAGTATCCTTGGGTGGATCCCATCTGGGCCCATGGACTTGTGCGCATCCAGGTGGAGGAGCAGGTCGGTGACTGCCACCTCTTTCACAACTGGGGCTTCATTCTACATCAGCCTCCAAGTGCAGGAAAGTTAAAACACAGAACCGACGCGAACGTACAGTCACAGAGAAGTAAATTTTAATGGCTTGCTTTAGATTAATTTAATCACTGAGGCTTATTTGTCAATGTTACAACAAGTGCTGAGAAATTATTGTCCTTCTTGGGCTGCATTTCTTTGACCGTACCTTAGAAAAGCATGTGTCAATGGTACAATCAAAGCAGGTTAGCAGAAGCATTTAATTAAATCTTCTTGCAAGGGGAGGTTACTGTTTAAAAGGTTACTGTCTATCATATATTATTTACTGTCTGAATGTAGAGGGCTAGATGTGTGTTTTATTGTTTTCAAATGCTTTTAGTAATTTATGAAATATTTAAAAGAAACTAATCTCAAAATGGGATTCAATCATGTTATGTATCTAGAAATTTCTTATTGGGGGGTTTTGCAACTCTAGAAAGTCTTTTTCCAACCACAAAATAAGAATTATAAAGTAACTTTAATGGATCAAGGCACGAACTTCCTGCAAGCTTCATAAATTATGTATTATGGCTGTAACCTTGAAAAATAACCATGTTTATTAGCGCTTGGCTGGGCTTTTTATTGCTGTTTCTTGTTACATTCTGTGATCTCAATATTTAAATATCTCTTTCAATAGTTGCAGCTTCTCTCTCTCTAGAGAAGAAATAGTCACTTATAATAAATCACTAATTTGTATTTTAATCATTTGTGGGGACGGCACTTAATATGAGAACCTTCCTGAACAAAGGAACCGTCACCTTAAACATATGTACAGCACCTAGCACAGCGTCCTGATTTCAGCTGGTACATGCAAGACTTGTCATAGAGTTACTACACCGTTCTTTCTTTGTGGATCTGTTAGAAAACAGATCAGTTCTAGGCACTTGTTTCAGCCTTGCCATTTCCAGACATGTCTCATAGGTGTCCTTGAGCATGTTCTGCTTCCTAGTTGTTGCTGCTGTTGATGTAGAGCTCAGAGTTTACAAGGTATGGTTCAGAAACACAGGGATTAAAAGAAAACTCTTTGCCTGTATTACTTTTTGTTGGCCACATAACCACTGAGGCCACTGAGATTAGGTATGGACTGGTGCTCCACATTCACAGGGCACAAGGCCAGAAAGCACCATTAAATCCTCCCTCTGACCTCCTTTGTAACTCCAGCTGCTCAGTTTCATGCACTAAAGCTGAAATACAAGCTGAAGTATCACTTCTTTTCTTTACAACGTTCGTCTTCAATTTGAAAACTAGGAATTTTTGTATCCAGGCCAAGCATCATAGCCCTAGTACAGAAAAAACACTCTTCGAGTATGTTCATGGCTGAAGTTTTAGCCTTCAGAAGCCTAAGCAAGAATTTTACCTTTTGCACTAAGAAGCACTCTCAAGTGAGCTTCTCAGTCTTCAGGTTTCATTGTTTTTAACCTGTGGCTGATGAGGAGTCTGCTGCAGCTTCCAGCCAAAGAGTTTGGGTTTACCTCATGGCAGATATGCTTTGCATCCTGATGTTTCTGAATTCAGTTCCTGGTGCATTGGCTGAGAAAACTGCCATCACTTTCTTTGAGAGAGGTTTTGAATTTCCCCTTGTAGCAGTTATTTTCCTACGCTCACACTGGGATAGAAACAATTTATGAGAGGGAACAAGGGATGTTCCCCAACTTGTAAGCATTTGGTTGAGTTGCCAAAATTTGGAGGCTACTCTTAGACTCTCCTTATAGACCCTGGGTAAAGAGAGGCTTCTTCAGAGTGCATGGTGGAGCAGGAGCTTTAACTAGGTTTAGATCCTGTGAACTTCTGTGTCTGAGTTTGTGCAGTGCATTTCCCGCAGAGGTTTGCCTGCCTCCTCGGATGATGTTGGTGTTGGTGTCCTGTCTTGGTACAGCATCTTTGCAGTAATCTTTGCTCAGTACAAGCATGTGATAAACATGAAAGCTTGGTGAGCATACTCTGGTGCAGAGTTTTGGTTACAGGAGTCTGACTTAGATTCCCCTGCTATGCCCCTTTAAAGGAAAAGAAACACTAGGAGAAATAAAGCTTGAAGTATAGGGCTTCTATTGTCTGTTGGCATGTGGGCAACTGAAAGAAAAGTTGTGATGGAAACTGAGATGATTTTCATGACTTTGAAATGTTTATATATGAGAGGGAAAGGATACTTGAAGTTCAGGCCTGTCAAAATGTGAGGTTTGTGATTTAAAGATGTTATGTTGCATATTAAAGTTTAAAAAGATGTAATCAGTAATGACATGCAGACAAAAAAATGTAACAAGAAAGGTGAAAGTTAATATTTTCCATCTCTTTCCAGGCTAAAAGTGAACAAATCAGTGTGAGACACCTGACATCAGGAAACTGGGAAGTTATCAAAATCCTGGCATATGATGAAAATACTCAAAAGATGTAAGCATCATTCTCTTTGTTTATGAAAATATCTGAGTTATTAAAGTAGAATCCATTTAACTGGAAATAGAGTATCTAAAATTAAGTAACGGTATTTCTTTCATTGTTGAGCATTACCATGAATTTTACACTCTGAAGTACATAAAATGCAGTTGTCAGACAATTTATCTGCCAGTGTATTACTGCATGTGTTTTTATGCAGAGGGAGAAGGAGCATACCGTGATATCAGTTGACTCACTGTGTTTTTTAAATAAAAGAAATCAATACACAATACAGCAGTAATAGCATTTCAGTGGCCCTTTCCTGGATTCCATAAAAATCATAGTAAATTTTTACTTGATAATATCCCCAAATCTTCAGTTTTCAGGCTTGCTTGGTTGCTGCATGAGACCTCTGGACTTCGTTTGGGGATGTGATTCAATCTCATAAATTCAAATTATATAGAACAATTATTCAAACCCCTAATTTTCACCCAGATCGCTGAGAGAGAAATTTTTCCAAAGCCCATCTTAGCACTGTAGTGGGAAGGAAATGCAGCACATACTTGGTGATTTTTGGGAGCAGTGAAGAACTGACACAAAACATCTGAAGGCTTCACATAACTTCAGTGGATCTTGGTTAGTCTTCATGTATATCTGCACATGGCAAAAAATAAACAGATGTGTCTAATTCTGATTTTCTTTAAAATAAATGATCTTTCAGCGAGGACCTTTTTGAGGCTGCAGCAATGCCTATCATCTCCACTGGTACTGGAGAAATTCCCTTTCTGTCCAGTCCTTCCATTGGTTTTGAAAATATATCCATGGGGAATTTCTTGATACTTCTCCAAGGTTCAGGTGGAAAAATGAGGTCTGGATGCACTCAGCCTGCAGAGAGGTGGCAGACTGCGTGTGGGTTGTCTCAGCCGCTTGAGAGTACTTTCTTACTCTCCTTCTGCCTCTCAAGCAGAAAATTTGCGGGGATCTCATCTGGGACACACCAGGATTTGTCTTCATATTCTTGCAGCAGCCCTACTAAGCCTCTTTCCACCCACACAACCTTGTCTGTAAACCATTGCCTAGGGTACTAGCTTCTGTCTCTAGATAGAAGAAAAAGTCATTCTACAACTCAAAAAGGCTTTCGGGTATCATAAGACCTATTGTAATTTATGATATAATTTCATTGTGATCTTTTTCTACTCCTTGAATTTATGCTGCAAACTCCTGGAGTGAAGGAGAAACTTTCTCTTCTGTATTTGTAATATGCAGAAAAGGGTCCTGGTTGCTGCTGGAGCTCCTGGGCATTACAGGAATTAAACAGAAACCATGTAGTACTGTGTTCATCACTGTTTTAATATGAAATCATATAGTATCTGAAATAACTACTCTGTATACTGGGTCTAAGTTTAATTGTGGAGCTTAGGTTTATGTATAAGTATTTGATCTTCATGTATATTTGGGAATTTTTAATTTTAAAAACTGTTATTTATGACGTCTCTCACTTCTGTAAACACCACCCAAACTAGACAGTTTACCAAACTGAGTTTAACTTTGTTCATCTTTTGGGCACAGTTATTTCTTAAGCACTGAAGAATCCCCAAGAGGAAGACAGCTACATAGGTAAGAAGTACATGGGTCTGTGTTAACAGCTTCTTCATCCCAAGCCATAAGTGCTATGATGACATTCTGTGAGCTTAATTGCTGCTGTGGGGCTTGGGTAATCATTTATATTATGTAAAAATTAGTACACTTGAGCTGTAACAAGGAAAGAATCACAGTTTTTCAAAACTAAAAATGCCGATGGTATTTTACATTTTTTAAAAAACTGAGAAGATTTGGACACAAAATGTTTTTACCACTTACATCTTCACTAGTCCTTTATAAGCATCTAAAAAAGCTAAACCTAAATGCAAGCATGTAATATGACTATTTTTAAAAGTAGTGAAAATCTTCTAATTACAAATAATATTTATGGGGTCTAATCATGCAGTTTAAAGTGTGTAGGTAAAGCACCTCCTCCTTACACAAACTTCAGTGCTTAAATCTGAAGTTAATGAGGCTTTTTATGGTGTCCTACTAACATTGTTAGCCCACAGCACTGCTAGTTATTGGAACTCCAGTCCTGCTTTGGGCAGGTTTTGGATTCTGTCCACATTGCCCAGTTTACAGAACAGTAGTCCACTGAGTCATCTGAAAACAGTTTGCATCAGGCACAAAAGAAGACAGCGATATTTTGGCAAGTTTAGGGACTGAAACAAATTTTATCATTCTGATGAGCTAATTCTTGGTTTATCGTATTTTATTCTTATGGAAAATGTTTCTGATCGTTTTTTTCCCCAGTGTATCAACAGTGGGATCATTGAATCGTCAGTGTCTCTCATGCAACTTCTTGAAAGACCAGTGCACATACTTCAGTGCAAAGTTTAGCCCCATGAACAGGCATTTTTTACTGCACTGTAAAGGTAAGTCAAATACACAGCATGTAATAGTACCGTGTTTGCTTCTGAATTAATGTATTCCCTTGAGAAGTGCATTAGGCTGGAGTCTAACATTTAGCTCAGTATTGGATTACTCGAAGTTCTGTTCAGAGCTTATTGCAAGACTGCAAGTAAAGATGTTCTCTGTAAAAGCTAAATAACAAGTGATATCAGAAAACTGCTCCAATCCTAACCGTTCAGTCCTAGTAAAGGACACTGACTTTTAAATTTACCCTGAATAAAAATCCTTCACCAAAAAAAATGTGGAATTTATAGTGATGGTACTGTAGTTCATAACAGCTTCATTATAGTATGTATTGGGATTGATCTTGTGCAACTATGCCTAGTTAAAAAATGAGGTCCTGCTTTCTGGTAACGTCATGTCTCTATGTGTGTATAACTGTATGCATAAGGTATATCTATACACACTCACCCACATATGCATATATATATGTGTGAGTATCTACCAAAAACCAGCCATAGTTTAATGCACATAGACAGATCCTCTTTATCAATAGAATTGCAATAAATAACATTTAGCTTTTTATTGTTAGCTCCCTTCCACTAGCACTAAATGGCACCAATTGGTTTCAGAGCTGGTATGTATAAACAGAAAACTAGAACCATCTCACACTGAGAAGTTTATAACCTACACCCAGGAAATAAGCACTGATAAATAAGTAAGATTATAAAAACAGGTTCCTATAAGTAAGATTATAAAAACAGGTTCAGAAAAGCATGAGACAATCAATAATAAAGCTAGACCTGTTGACCTTGAAACTTGCAGTATTTTGCAGACGTTCTCCCAGTATTTTTGCTCAACATGCATCAGATTGAAAAGAGTAGAACACAATTCATCTGAAATACATGTGAATAGCCCATTCTATTTGCATGCATTTTTTCTGTTTCTTTTGCAACTGTACATTTTTTGCACAAAAATAAAATACATGCCTGCTTGAGAATTGAATCTATTCAAACAAACAAACTATGAATATATATTGGCTAAAATAAGGTTGTGGTTTGGGTTTTTTTTTGTGGAAGTACACCTATAATACATAGCTGATTAGAAGAAAAAAATATACCAACTGTATGGTTTATACATGGTTAAAGCTGCGGCAGAAGTTATAGAGCTAATCCTGAGGCCCTTTTCTGAGTAAAGACTGCACTAGTAATGAGCTCCTCGCAGTTTAAGCAGGGTTTCCCTTGTGCTTGACATTGTCCCTGTGGGGAAAGTCTCAGATTCCTGCAAGAGGGAGGGTTGGTAAATTGGGAAGAGTTTTTAGCCCTGAATCAGCAGTGTGCTAGGGCCCAAAAACATAGCTTCTTGTTATTATTTTAGCAAAGTATATTCAGCCTGTAATTTTTAATGTATTCCTTTGATATAAAAATGTGGATGCCAGTAGGAAGTTGCACATGAAATTGCTCACAAGCTCATGACTTTCAGTGACTTTAGAGATGGCCGTTCTCTGTTTGAGCTGGTAAGACTGTAGATCATCCTCCCAGGATTAAACCTACACTCCACTGAGTTGCAACCAGTAGACTGCCCTAAGCTGCAGGTGTTGGGCAGGGATGATAAAACACCGTCATTAAGTTTTCCTACCTCTAACATTAATGTATAGTTGTCGACTTGGGGTTATTCAGAGGTGCTGTCTTGTGTTTTGTCAGAGCTTGACAATTGCGGCAGCAGCCTGGCCCCCATGTACTGCCACAGCTCTGCAAAATGCCTGTGGTGGGGTGGATATTTGACAGTACGAAAGTTGATGGCAACATCACCATAGAGCAGGTATTAAAATTCTTCTGTGGGGAGTTGCTTGTAAGTGTACAAGGTAAACCGCTTCAAGGAGACAGATGACACCACACCTACGTGCCTACACACTTGTTTTCCAACAACAAAAAGCCTGACTGAATTGTTACAAAAGCAATTTGCCCAGAAAAGTCCTTGGGGGACTCTGGACTGGTTTGATCTATACACGTTTCAATTCTTTCACCTCCTCTTTACCCGTGAGCACCTTTATTAGGATAGTTTCTCCTTCTTAGTTACCCTCAGCCAGGAAATGTGTCTCAGCATACCAGCTGTATCCATCTCCAGAGACTGTCCTGAGTGAGGAGTTATTTCTAGCCTGGTAGATGGAGGACCAGCTCTGCAGCCTCTCAGTTTGGGCAAGCGTGTCGTTTACACTTATTTTCCACACTGCTTCTGGATTTTTCCTTTAGCACTTCATAAACACTAACAGATGTTAATCTCTCCACTCAAATAAGATACTTTGCAAAGGGAGTAATTGGTTTTCCCATTTTATACAGGAGGAAATAAGTTGTGGATTTAGTGTTAGTTATAGGAGGTCAATGGGAAATTCAAGTGCTGTGCTTAGTTCTGATGAGCTGTAACACAATGCCTGTACCACAAGTCTGTCCTTCTCTTTTCTGATCGGCTTTTTAATCTCCTGTAATCTCCCTTTTTCAAAATCTGTCATCATCCTTCCATCTTTTAGTATAACAAATAGAGCTGGCCTGGAAAATAACAATGCCTTCACCTGCAAAAACTGTCTTTCTTAAATCAGAATTCAAAGCAAAATGACAAATTCAGAAGAAGTAAAAAGAGCTGGAAAAAAACAAAACAAAATAAAGAAGAAGAGACAGCTGAAGAAATTATCTTTTGAAGAGCTAAGGCAGAAGGCTTTGATTTGTCAGCAATCTACCTGTAAGATTTTTGTCAATAGTCTCCCTTGAGGCAGAGAATGAAATGGATAAAAATCTTCAGTGGAGGCTGTCAGAGGCTGTGAATGGCATCATGCTATTTATTTCAGGTATTTAAGTTTCCCTAGGCTCATGCCATAATTAATTGAGAGAGACAACCTCCTCAGAATGGCTCAAAACACATAAATTAAGCTCTATCTCTGAACTGCTCTCAAAGGGAATCTTTTTTTCTCCAAAAAAGAGGAGTCTGAACTCCTAATTTCAGAGGCTCCATGCCTTCATCTGCCATGGGGTCCTCAGGGACTTCAGCTTTTCTGCATCATCCTTCCTAGCCCAATAGTGACTGCCTGCATGTAATTCAAACTCTTGTCTCACTGAGATAAAACTAAGTTTCCCGTGTACAAATTCACCCCCCATGTTGGGGGTGGGGACACAACATTTTCTTTTGCAAATTTACACTAGTGGGAGTCCTCAGAGCAGGGACAGCGATCCCAGCTATACTTCTGAGTATGCTGAATGTTTGGTTACCCCAGTTTCATATGCTATCTTGTGCTTTGCACAGTACTTACTAATGTGGAGAATTATTCTTGGTGCGCTTAGTTTCTCAGTGGTACAGTAAAAATATAGCATCTGACATTACCATGAAATAAGATTAGATTACATTACACCTAGATTTAACCATGATGCTCTTGGTCTCCCAGAGCTGAGGTACCAAAGTAGCTTCTTAAACAGATAAGTAAGTGAAATATGTGATAATTTTTCAACACCTCTGTAGCTTTTCCATAGAAAACTTAAGTGAATATTATCATTAATTCACTTCCCAGTCAACTTAAAGTTACTGTTTCTGAGTGTCAAACTGCTATATTTTAGACAGTGCTGTTAAGTGCCTCTAATTTTTTTTATTCTTCACTTTTAGCTAAAACATGGAGATTAAAAAAAAGCTCCTTCTAGGTGCAGGGGTCTAGAGTGCTTGCTGAACAGGCAGGAGGCAGTCTCCGTGTCACACTTTGTTGGTACCGTAGTCTAACCCGTGTCCTTTCCAAGAGACACCAGTGGAGTTACTCCTGTGTTTGAAAGGAAGCATGTCTATGGGGCTTCCAGGATCTGGCCTTACGTGGTCACTGGTGTTCTCATTCTTTGTTCCTGACTGAAATACTGAATACTAACTACCCTACACTTTGTCTATTTTTCTTCTCTCTTCAAAACAGGTCCAGGCGTTCCAGTTGTTAGCGTGCACAGTACAAGTAATACTGCAAGTGAGTATTCCTTATGGAATAGGTATATTTTATTATCGTCCTTGATTGTTCTGGGGAGCATGAGGGAGGGGGAAGGCAATTACAAGTAAATGAAAACTAATAGATGGCTCATTCATATAAAGTTCTATTAATTACCTTTTAGCAACATCCACATCTGCAAATGATAAGGAAAGAAGTTAATCAAATGACTAAAACTTTCCCAGGCTTTTTGGATATGGTTTATGCTAAGTGCATATCATTCATCTTCTATTTACACTTGAGTTAATTAGATGGCAGGTTGGTCTTCATCCATTTCACTTTCTATGTAAATTATGCTGCCATTACAGTACACATTCTGTATTTTTAGACATGTTTTTAAAGTTACAATCCAATTATCTTGAAGTAAGGTACAGTCTTTGGACAATTGATCATAAAATCTGACCTACATACGATGAACTTAGTCCTCTTACATTTCTCAAATCAGAGCAACTCCACTGACATTTTCAATGACGGCAAATTCAAGAATAAAAGCTTTTTAGGAGGGTATTCAATACCTCTGATTTTCAAGTTTTACTCATTGCTTTCTGTATATTGATGCCAAATCTGTTGCTGTTTCCTGGCCGCTTGAGGTGCTTTGTAATGGAAGGCTGTCCTTGAACAGCAGAATTTTCCTCACTTAGATATTTCTCTGGTGCAGTAGAGGTAACAACAGTGCTACCTCCAACTCCAGCATGGCTCCCTCTAGCATGAAGGTGTGGATTAGAGGAACGGGGACATCTTTCCATTCAAAACCACTAAACCAATCCTTACCTATTCTAGTTTCATTCAATAGATTATCCCCAGAATTTTTCCTAGAATCAAAAAGTCCTGAACTACATCCCTTTTGTCATGGGCCAGCCACTATTCAGCCATAACAGTGGACCTAACATTGCATGTTGAAGTAGCATACTGATCAATAGTATCATGCTATCAAGTGTTAATTAATGTCTGCACTTTGGCTTCCTTTTTTTTTTTTTTTTTAAAATGTCACTGTTGATAGTATTTGCAAAGCTGAGTGCCATAGCAAACCAAGGGGAGGGAGTTTTATCCAACTCAATAAGGGGTAGCTATTACTGCTCAAAGTAAATTCATTGACTTCTGTAGAGCTACTCAGTTCTGTGAAGGTAGACTTTCACTCTTTATTACTTGTATCTAAAATATTGTTGATAGTGAATTATTGTAAAAGAGATTTATGTATGGCATCTTAGAGGAAAACAAAGGAAGTCAGGATAGAGGGATGTTGTTTGTTGTAACAACAAGAAACCAAATAATAAGAGAGATAATTTACCATTAATGTTTCAGTGCAAGATTAGATTATCCTCTTCAATTCATAAAAGAATGATTAAGGATTACTTCAATTATTCCATCCTCAGACTATAATTATACCATTTTGGTTGACTGCCCAGAACAAACATTCTCCTTAGATTATCCGTTTTGGCCCTAAGTGGAGGGTTTATTGTTTAATAAAAAAAATCTACATTTTGGAAGCAAGATTGGTAATTTGAGTAAAAAAAGAAAAGGAAAAAAAAAGAACTAATTAATCATTCTTTTGTGTGCAAAAGGATTGCTTCAAATCTGTCTGCAGCTTTAAACCAAACTGAAGGCTTGCTCCTGGTTGAAGTGCAGAAGACAGAGAAGGACATGCAGTGATCAAGTACAGCTGTGCTGGCTGGATATTGACTTGGAATACGTAGCTTGAAAAGGATCCTTCCTTGAGGCTTAGGATATTGCCCAGCAACCTAGCCTTTCGCTGTAACAGCTGCTGTTAGTATTTGTCAGGGATACTAGTATTCATGTTGTTCATCAGCAATTTTATTGTTAGTGCTTAACAAAAACAAAGCCTACTGAAGCCAGAAAATGGAATAGATGTATATGTTTTGAATTAAGCTGATTGCTCAGTTCCTGAATTGCAAAGCAGTTGCATTATAAGAAAAAGTATTTACAGAAGGAATTCATTTACAAGATTTATCATTGCACATTTGTCTCTTTTTCTTTAATTTTTCTGAATCTTGGTTTATCTCTGACATGATGATTCTCTGTACCTTTCAACTTGCTTTTTCTTCCTGTTTTCTACAGAGTTTTATATTTTGGAAAATAATGCTATGTTGAAAGAAGCTGTTTTTAAGAAAAAGAATTCCAGGACTGAAATTAAAATGCTTCACATTGAGGATTACGGTAAATTTGGCAAAATGTTGTTTTAACAAACCAAAAGCTTTCTTGCGATGTTACTGTTTTTCATCTGTGTAACTACCAGCCTTTAATGTTTTGCTCTTTTCTTAAAAGAACTCCCTTTACAGTTGTCACTGCCAAAAGATTTCACGGATCGAAACCAGTATGCCCTTCTATTAATAATGTAAGTATCTGTGTAGAATCACTCAAAATAATAAAAAAGTGCTTCATAGAAAACATTTAACTCTGTAATTAGAAAATGTTGTTTTACCTTGTGTAGGAAAATTACCTCATGGATTTGAGTTGATAAATCAAAAGGCTTGTTCTCAGGAAGATTTTGTTATAGGTGCTATCTGGTAGAGATGCCTGGGATTTTTTGAGCTTGTCAAACCTAGCTCTGCTTCGTTGTACTTTTATGTACATGAGGCACTGGCCCTTCTGATGGTGTGGCTGTGGAGTAATTCAGCATTCTTTCCTGGACCCATGCTGATTCCTACCCACAGAGGATCTCATTCAGAGCATATGCTCCTTTTTTTTTCCCTTTTTATCCCTGATAGAAACAGGTGGAGCTTCTAAGAAGGGCTCAGTTAAGATGCAGAAAGCAAAACTGCTTTTAGGAACACTGGAAATAAGAAAAAACTAGTTTTGAGCATCAATGGCTGAAGGCATTCTAGGCATGATCCAAAGTCTGTTGATGTTTGTAGAAAGCCTCTATGGGAGGAAGGAGGTACTCCCTGGCGACCTGTGCTGTTCTTTTAAAAAGAAATAGTGTGTGTATTTCTTCCAGAGACAGTCAGCCTTTAAGTTGCACATCTGCAGAACATATAGCAGAGGAGGAGAGCAGTCGTGAGCATACCTGCAGCCTACCTAGGAAAACCAGTGATGGCCAGCTCAAGGCATCATTCATTGCTCTCCACCTGAGCTCAGCATGGGTCTGCCATGGGTGTAGAGGGCTTTCCTGTACCTACAAATCTTCTTGCAGTCCCATTTGGAAGGAACTGATGTGAATTTCACTAGCACAGGTGTAGGAATGCACTGCTAATTTCATGAAAATGCCATGTTAGCTGAGCTGTATCACCTGGAGTAGACAGCAGAGATCCTTATTGTTGCATGGGAGGTCAAATTTACAAGCTTGAGCTCCTAAGTGATCCCAACTTCCTCTACTCAGATCAGATCTTAGATAATAGGACAGAGAGGCATAAAACTCCTTATTTCTAAGTCCAGTTTGTGTTTAAAACTCAGGTTTTTCAGTTGTATTTATCTGCAGTTGTGGAGGCTTTCTGCTTTAAGTGGCTTATGAACACATTTTTCTTGTGGAGAAACAGGACACATGGATTATTTCATTTTTGCAGTATTTGCTAGCATGATCTTGAAGCATGATTATATTTTAAGCAGCTCTTTTAAGTGTACCAAAGGCAAACCAACTCTGTGAATTGACACCAGCAGCATTACAGGGAGTTGCAAACACTCGCGCTTATTCTTTTTTCTGAGAGTAAGGAAACACTGAGGTGTTAGCAGTGTAAGGCTTTCCTTTTTAAGTATCCTAGTAAATACATAATCTGCTATATACAGTCATGGTAGAATATGAGGTTTATACTCATGTAGAACCTAGAGAAGACAGGAGGGAAGGATCAGGAACCTGGATAAGGCCAAGGCCAAAAATGCCAGGAAAAAGAAAAAAAAAACTAAGGAAGTACTATTATGAAATATTTTTAGATATCAAGAGTTGAAATAACTGAGAACAGCATTGAGGCAAGGTCTGAATTTGAATTTACCAAAGTTGTCAGTACCCAATGAGCGACTAATGTGGCCAAGTCATAATGTATGCGTATGTTTTGTAATTATTCTATTTTTTTATGATGTGCATATCAAATTCATCCACTTATGAATACAGATTGTGGTATCTACATATATAATATGGAGACCTTGCTTCTTTTTAGTCAAATCCTTACCTTTGCAATACTGAATTCTCAATGTTAGCTTTAACAGGAGTTATTTTTAGAAAACCGTATACACTAATGAAAGTATGAAGCGGAAAATTGGAAATCTATCCTGGCTCATGTAATGTTGCATGTGTTGTGTCCCTCTCTTTTCTAGAAGAGAATGAAGTTCCATTTCTTCAGCAGCTTTTTACAGACTTTAAACTAAGGTTGCCAGCAATGTTTTTTGAGTTAAAAATGTCCCCAAGTGAGATATAAAACTGAAAACTGTCACTGAAGGTATGGGAGGTTCCCTTGTGGGATGATTATTTGAGCCTAATAAATCCTGCCTGGCTCTTGAGAAAGAACGATTTGAAATCTGTGTGCGTGCAGAGGGTAATTTGTTGACCCACACAACTTCAAATTGACAGCTTAAGGTTTATTTCATTATCAGAAGTACTACTTTCAAAAAAAAAAAAAAAAGTATTCAGGTCCAAGAAGAACATGTAGCTTTTACAGGAAACACTGATTAGTTGTATATATGGTATCATTTCCCAGATATTTGATTTTCCTGAGTCCCAGAGTGGTACTGTTGGGACTGATTGAGAAACACCCTGTTCCTACTGCTAGAAGTGTTAAGAATTGTATCAGTGGCTAATAACAAGCACTGCCTTTCATATTGTTCAGCTGCACCTACTTTCTTGCTTACATTCTCAGCCATAATACAATTATCATTATATTCCAGCTATTGAAACTTTGAAAAAGAATGCTTACCAATGTCCTCAGTAAGAATGCTGGTTTAATTGTATATCCATTTTTTGGAAAGGAGATTCTATATAACATTTTGATCCAGGCAGCATACACTTAGATGTATATGAAGAGAAGATATATATCTGGAAAAGTGAAGTATTAGCAGATATGAAGTGGCTTTTGCTTTCCATCTCAGTAGTACTGCAGTTTGACAAGGACTTAAGAAAAAGAGAGGGAGGGAGGGAGGGAGGGAGGGAAGAAAGGTGAGGAAAAGAGAATATGAGTTTAAACCTGAAATTCACCTAATATGTCTCTGCAGTGCAAATTAAATACCTAGTTAAGTGCATATAAGCTTTTAAGTGCATATAGACTTTGTCCCCTAAGCTGGAGGGTACATATGGCATATAAGATCTAACAGGCTCTGACTGGCTGTTTGGCTGCAGTGATTGCTTCAGAGTGACTCCAAGCCTCTGGTGAAGATTCATCTTCCCTGTGTCTTACATTTTGCCAGGGTCTGGTTTGCCTGTGTGGTCTCGTCTCTGTCTGCAGAATTTTTGTGCTGGTGGCTGGTTTTGCTGGCTCTGAATAAAGTGGTTTTTTGATGGCTGAGGTTCATAATTTTACTGTAAATTTTCATCAGCAGCGACTGCTTCTGTGTGGTGTCAATGTGCTCTCTCGATCAATAGAGTTACAATTACGATAGCAGAATTTGGAAATAGATAAAAGGGGAGAAAGTTTGGTATTATTTGGTAATTTTTTTTCAAATCACTGAAAGCTGGTAGCCATTTCAAAGGTGCATGACTATAATAAGGCTCCTGTATTCATGCAAGGATGCCTGCAGATAATTTCCAGCACATGGCACCCAGGTGCCTGAGCGTTAAGGCTGAATCCTGGCAGGGAGCCTGGACCAGTGGATTTTGGTCCTGGTGTGAAACCTGGATGTGAACTCAGTACAGCTCCATGTAGACACAAGCTCAACTTAAGGACCAGGCTCTGAATATCCTGTAACCTTCATCATATGGATTTTGTGAAGATTCATCCATTAGTAATTGCAAAGCATTCTGCAACGTTCAAATAGAAAATCATTGTGTTACTATGTTAAATTTTATGTCATCTGTATGGCTGGACTATCTAACAGATAGGTCCCATGCAGAAACCAGTTATGTCAGCTAGCACTATTTTTCTTTCCAGAATTGAGATGCATAGGCCATAAAATGCTAAACAGATTATAACACTCTCCTTTCTTCCATTTGTTCTCCTAAACTACTAATACATTTCACACTCAGTTTCCTTCTGATATAATACATACAGTGTAGCTATAGATTAGAGAGGTGTACAGTAATTGCCTGAAAGAGTGATTATCATCTCTTTTCTATATAATTAAGATCAAAGTTTAAATTTCAGATCCTTGATTTTCTCATTATGGTTCACCTTACTCATTAAAAAAGTTGGAAGATACACTTCTTGGTAACACAGAGGAAATGATTAAGTAAAGACTCTGGCATTTAATCTGGATAATAAAATGAGAGGTGATAATCATTCTTTATTTTTTCTTGAACATAATTAACCTCATTCCTTCAAAATCTGTACATAATGTATCTTAAATGTCAGCATTTATTATTTAACGCCATTTAAAATTGTCCAATATGTAAGTAGATATTGTAAAACTGAATCAGTGGAGAGATTCTTCTGATCTTTGAGGGGAAAAAAAACAACAGGTATTATCCAAAGTAACAGTGAATTGTCACCAAGAGGTTTCTGTTTGTTTGTTTGTTTGTGTACTTGTTTTCTTATATTTTGGTAATAAACAGAAGCACTTCACCTGTTACTGAAATGATGAAAGTTTTAGGCCTCTGCACAGGCAATCAAACCTGTTTATGCCTCCAGTTAATACACTCTTGGGACTGATAGCAAGGTAAGACAGTAGGGTTGGAAGTGAAGATTTTTTTACAGCTTCGGGAATAACTCGTTAAAAGACTAGCAGAAACAGAGAGGCATAGTGCAAGTATTGGGAAATATTTGAGATCTGAGCTACGGTAACACTTTGCGTATTAATAGTTGTCTTGCGTACCTTTCATTTGTTGTAAAAGATATTGCTCCTTTTAAATGGCAGCTGTTGCAAGTGAAACAATGCTTGGCTACATGGTGAAGTATAAAAATATGTGGTGGATTCCACTACTTTGATTGCAATATGCTTGCGAGGGGGACATCCCTGAAGGCCTTTTTCTTTGGCCAGTTCTTCCTCTGTAAAACAGCTGCAAAATTTACTTTTTTGGGGATGCCTAAGTCATGTGAATGATTCACTAATTGCTTTGCAAGCCATCCATTTCATGCCTGTATTCATCCTGCCTCTGCCAAGCATGGCAGTATTTTACTGCTCTATTGCGTTTCTGTTACATCAGAGTATTTGATGGAGAGTCTTCTTTTTTACTCTTTTAGATTTTCTTCCCCATTCTTTGAACTTTGTAATATTTCTCGAGGCCTAGAGGGAGAATTCATTTAGCTTAGGCTAAAAGAGGGTTAGACTGGAGGCTCACTCCAGCTGTGTTATTTGCAGGAGCGGTCCTGGTGCTATGGGCCGTGACGAATCTACTCACTACCTTTCTCTTCAGTCTTGTCCCAAAAAACAGTCTTGGGGAGTTGTTGAGCTAAGATCCATCCTCTTTCAGCCTCCCCTAGTCCCAGTTCCCCCACAGCAGTACATATCTTACTATGTGAATAAAATGGTCATTTAATCTTTCTTAGGAAAAGACAAGAGGAGATTCAAAACTTCACCTGCTTTTCTGATGACACAGGACGGTGTTACATCTCTTGTTCTCAAAATTGCATTTTCAAAGCCTCAAGGATTTCAGAAAGATATTTTAAGAATAACTGTTTTTTGTACTATGCCATCTACTTCAATCCTGTCTATCACACGATTCTACCCTAGTAATGGAATCACTTCTGGTGATGTGTTTTAATTTGTTTGGCCATATCTGCAGGGAGGAGTTGTAAACACACTATGTGTTGTTAGTTGCAGTCTGCTATATCTAAACAAGGTATATGAACAGAGAGAAAACATTTGGGATTTTCTGTCCTCAATGTTTACGGCTATTCAGGTTCCCTGATTTTTGACCAGTAATGATGGGTGTGCTTGAAAGCTGATGCTTGTGAAAGAGATGCTCATGAAATCTGAAAATGAAGTGGATTTCTCTATTACACCAGTTTTGCAAAAAGGTCTTCTTTCCCCACTCAGTTTCACCATAAGCAAAAGATGACTTTTATGAGTGATATTTCTTTGCATAGATTTTATCTTCTGAGTTGTAGTCTTTCTCACATATTTGCTATCCAGATACCTTTTCTATATGCTGCATCAAATCCACTGGTCTGCAGAAATAGAAAGAGATGTACTGGAAATTAAGCAGTGATGATAGCAGTTATTTGCCATGTACCTTTTAAAATTGTTTCCCCTGCTGCTTGGTCAGCCCTATAACTTCTGAAATTCCTATTTAAAATCTTGCCACTTAGTTTTTAAATGGTGCAAAACATGAAACAAATTTTGCTGCAGTCATGGTAGCAGAGTGGCAGAGGAGTATTGCTCAGAGTACAGCAGCAACAGCCTCTCTGGTGACACTGTATTATTCCTTGTAGGCTGTAACTCAAGTCAGGAACAGAGACTTTAGTTTAAGCTTTTGATTATAGAATCTGAAAGAACAGATTCTTCTCTTTTCAGCAATATATGAACTTATGATGAGCTGTCCCTTTTTTCCAGACAGTCTGAGACATATCTGACTGCCTTGCAAGAAGCATACACTACACCCACTAAAGACAATATTGGTATATTATTGATGGCTTCTGTCTATTGAAATTGTACCTCAATGGTGAACTTCAGCAGAATGCCCAAGTCGTCAGCAGTTGCGCTGCCACGGTGGACTCATAATCCAAGTGTAGTTGCTCTCAAAGAGACACACTAGACAGCTCTGAACATTGAAAGTTAGGAATAAAAATTAAAAAAAGGGAAGTGCAAGTGCTGTCACTTACAAGGGAAAAAATTAATCAGGAAGAATTAGGCATAGTCTTCATTTGAATCATTCTGCTCTGTTGTTTGACTCAGGAGATGATGCTCCTTAAAGAACCCTTGAGGGATGCTGAAGAGCCTATAACTTTTCATAGCCCTTTCAGTGCTGGCTTAAATTTTGCTGTGGTGCTTTGGCTAGTCCGTGGTTCCCTTATGGCTATCCAGAGTCAGGTGGGAAGAAGATTTCTGCGTTTGTATTACACCCAAGCATAAATGGCACGGGCTTTCTTCCAGGCTTACTAGCGGGGTCAAAAATAATTCTATGAAGAGAGTACCGCTGAACAGCAGTTAATTGTAATTAGGCGGTAAGTATTGATGAGCATAAAACAAAAGCAGATCTTTGAGAATGCTGTAATCCCAGGACAAACTTCACAAATCAGGCTGTGCATCTATTATTGCACTGTAGCACAAACTTGCTTTGTTACAGAGCCCTCATGGTGGTGTTGAAAGTTGAATAAAGGATTAATACCTTGCAGAAGCCCCATTTAAAAGGTTAAAAGTGGGGCCTAAATGGTGCATAGAATATATGCTGTCTCTCTGTGGAGGACAGAAGCACACCTCAGACAATCAGTATCATTTTATAGTAGCAGCTGAAGAGAAAAGAGACCTTTTGGTGCTAATGGAAATTTTGACATGTACCTCAATGGAAATAGCTTTAAATGCCTGTCACAGACTACTTATATGGACATTCTTGAAATAAATTAGCCACTGGAAAATTGCTTCCAAAAGCAATATGTCAAACAAGGCATCATGCAGGAGTGGAAGATGTATAGTGTTTAAAGTCTTGAGCCTAAAAGTAGCCCAGCTATGCCCTCCAGAGAAGGAGCTTGGGAAAGCATCAGTCAGTTCCCGCCCACTGACAATCTTGATGAGGTTCTGTCTGTTGCTCTTTTCTTAATAGAAGAAATTGTCTGAGGGTATCATCTTTCATTTAAAACCCTTTTTGGTTTTAAGCACTTTCTGGTATAGAGAAAGGCTTACAAATATAACAGTTCTTCCCCTGTTCCCAAGTGTCTAGATACATAACACATACATATATATACACATGCATATATAACATGTATAAAACAAATGCAAACAGTGTATTTGTTTTGTTCTTATATTAGGTGGGAGGGAAGCGGGCTGACTCATGATATTTTCACTTGTGTGGATTGCATTAAACTGTTGGAAAGATACCTAGCCAGACAAGGACATTTCTGACATCTTATCTTATTGTGGAAAGTTGGAAGAACTTAAAAAAAAATTATAACTGATCTGAGGCTGCTACTATTGGAAGTAGTGGTAAAAGCTCTGTGAAAACATGTGCGTCCATGTAGAGTGCTTCTGAAAACCTTGCTCTGTACAATAAGCATAACTTGAAATAATTGTTCTGCTCCTGCTCTTATTGTAAATAATAATGATGATATACTTCTGAAACACGTGTTTTCTGCAGAGTTCACTTGACAGTCAGTATTACCAAATTCATTGCTCTGCATTGTTAGCAGTTAGTGTAATCACAACTGAATTGGTTAAGCAAACAAAAAGATGCCCCTCCTTTCTTTTTATAAAGCCAAGTATAAACTTGATGCACAAGATAATGGTGAATCAAGCATAACATCTTGTGACTGAGTCTATAACCAAGTAATCCTGGTTTTAGTGCATGATATAGCAACCACGTAGGTAGGTCTGACTGAATTTGAGAACATATTTATTCATCATATGCTTGCTAATTATTAGAGCGATTACCCTGAAGATGGTCTATGTTATCCACAGCCAAAACCAGATACTGAATCAGCACAGCATTGTACATACAAGACAGTAGTTACTGTAGTAGATTTTTATCTCTCTTTCCTCCCCCTAGGTTTATGTAAGTCTCTTTGGCAAAATAATAATTTCTGTCTTCATCTTTCTTTCACCTTAGATAGGATATTCCCACAGACACTGTCCAATCTAATTTCCATACAGCCAGCACAGACACTTTTACATTTTAATTTGCATTAAACTGGCAGATGCAGCCTGCATAGAAGTATTTTGCATTTTGTACAACTTCATGGTAGCCTGCTCTCTTCTTCTGTGTTTATCTTGGGGAAAAAATAATGACAGGCTTCCCTGTTAAAACTGACATTTTATTTTCTTTGGAAGGAAAATAGTATATTTGGCTTCAATGGAAAATGCTTATTGTTCCTCTAGAAACTGCATTCTCCCATTCTATTCCACCTTTTCTGCTGTAAACCACCTTTTTTTTTAGTCATAAAATAAACTTATCACTCCTGCCTGCATCCATTTCTTGCTATGAATTTGAATGGAGAAAATATAATTTTCTCCAATGTGTACTTCAGTCTTCTTTGTACCCTATTTCAAAAAATCCATTCAAGGATACAATAATGCAATTATTTTTGTTTTCTAAGATGACATCCTTCTTAATAGTATTATATATCTTACAAAATCGTAATGAGGGTACTGAATGAATTTTCCTTTTTGTCTGTTTAGTGTAACTTAAAAAATTCTACATGAGCTTTGTCAGAACTGAGCTAACCCTTAGTGATTATGTTATTTTTTTTTGTTCACTTTATTAACCTATAAGCAGCACTATGTGCTTTAGTTTTCTGGTTTTTTTCTACAAAGAATATTCAAGTATTGTCAACACTGCAACATAGTGGTTATAAAGTTAAAGAAGTTATTTTGCTTACTACTACTGCAGGGATACCAGCACTAGCTAAAGTGATGGTATCGATGGAAGTGACAATAATTCAACAGGATTGCATAACCGACTGAACTCTGCCATCTAGGTTAAATAAAATATCGGAGAACGACAAAGTGCATCACATTGTCAATATAGTCTTCGTTTGTGTCTGGTGTGTTGGTATTTGCAGTGATGAAGCTCCAGGCAGCCAGTTGGTTACAGATAAGTTTCACATTGACTGGGACTCAGTGCTTGTCAACTCTGATAATGTCATCGTAGCTCGATTTGATGGCAGAGGGAGTGGATTTCAAGGTCTTAAGATTCTACAGGAGGTCCACCGATGCTTGGGATCAGTTGAAGTGAAGGACCAAATAGCAGCCGTAGAGTACGTATGTGCAAACTTTTCTTCTCTTTTACCCTGCTTCCACCTTGATGAATGAGCATTTTTAACTGAAACTGCCCAGAATGTTTTCTTTGCCTAGTGAATACTGTTAATGTTTATTTTTAAAGCAGTTGCAAATTTTGAAACAATAATCTTTTCATTACAAATGGCAAATTAAAGGTCAAAGAGGTGTTTGCTTTTTGTGTTGGTGCTTCTCTTTGATAAAGCTGTCCTTCTGTGTGCAATCTAAATATGCCATCTGAGCTAATTTGTGTTTGTCTATATTCCTTAGGAAAATTTCTTGCACAGCACATGTTAATGCATTTCTGTTACAATATTTTAAGTCTATACAATAAGAAGCTGCTCTCATTTCCACCACAGAATTCTGGAGTAATCAGAGAAAGCAAATGGAGTTATAATGGTGTAAATGAGAGCAAAATGTGGGCAAATGCCTGTTATTTCTCATTTGCATTATCATTCTTAGACTGATAGAAATCCACCAGCTGCAGAAAAAGTCATTTCCCTCTGGAGTAATCCCACATGGTTTTGACAACACTCTTTACTAAGGGTGCACATGTCAAAATGGCTAATATCAAGGTCTGGATGGACTTTTTCTAGGGATTCTCAAGGAAAAACAGATTTTAAGCCAGATTTTTTTTTTCTTCTTTTGAAAGCGGTTGATACTTCAACCATTGCATGAGTAGGTATCTGTCTCTGGCATGACATACCTGGGCGACAGGGCTCCTACTGTTCACATTGGTCAGGAATGGGCTGTGTTGAGCAGAGCAATTAATCTTGCATGCATCCAGGTGACCCTTGCAAAGGGCCATCAGAAGCAGGCCATACGCTGTGCTGTGAGATCTGTGCTCTCTGCTGAAATACTGAGATGTTTTAGGCTAAGCTACATCTGGCCTCTTTTTGGATGCAGTGCGTGGGAAAAAGGGAGGGTGCCCTTGGCTGAGAGAAGGTGCTGCAGCTGGTTTCGTCTCCTCAAAAGCAGTTGGATTTTGCCCTCAGGTTATTCTGTCTTTTCTGTATAAAATTCACCATTGCTGAGTAATGGCCTTGATGAGAGAATTAATTATTTGGATAGTTACGTAGACTCAAGAAGTTGCTTTCATCTTACCTTCCTTTAGCTGTCTAAAAACTAGGCACCTCGTCAAAGTCACTTATTTAAGCTCTGGTCAGTGGAAAATTCTGGCATTTCTGGAGGGTGATTCTCCCCAGACTGAGAGAGGTTTCCAGTATGGGTAGGAAGAATGGCTGTTTGAGCGTGTCTTCCTTCTCTCCTCTAACTGAAGGGTAAATGGGCAATTTAGACAAGATGCTCAAATTCAAATACCTAAAGTTAGGTGAGATGAGTCCAGCACAAACTGTTTGCCATATAGAGAAGGAATTAGAAAGCAAATCACATTTCCCAGTGCAATAATACTTTTATTGGTGTAGTTTGTTTTTCTACCTGATTCACATGTATGACAATTCCTTACTGTACAGTTTTTTTTTTATTTTATATTTTATACTAGATTTAACAAGTAAAATTCACCATTTTCCTTTACCAAAGTAAAAAAAAACCAAACCTTTTTTTCTTGCAGATCACTATTGAAACAGCCCTTCATTGATCCTAAGAGACTGAGTATATTTGGAAAGGTAATGTGCAAAATAGCAGGATGTATCATCATGATTCTTTAAGAAAATACTATCAGTTCATAAACAAATATATTTATCTATTTTCCTAAGACAATTTCAGTTATTAAAAGAGGAAAAAAACCTGCCATAATTTACTGTATGTTCTGTATATTAACTTTTTCTGAGAATGGGTATTTGAGATCAATCAGATCAGTTTTGTGGTACTGCAGTATTTGTGTTTCAGAATCTGTAGGAGAAAGTATCTGCTTTCATTAAAAAAATTATTATGGGCATAGATTTTGTGAACGTTTGTTTCTTACACTTTTATATTTGGGCTGCAGTTAAATTGACAACGTCCTTCTAATACAACTTTTATATCTGAATGTTTTATTGACCCTTGAAGTCAGCTGAGTTACAGCCCTATGGTACTGTCAACAACTTCCTTTTTGTGCCATCTGCTAGGAACCTCGCCATTGCTGTTCTGTCAGCTGGCTTCACTGTGTGGCATGTTGTTGCCTCTAGTATGAGATAGAACAAGGCAAAGGCTTAACCTTTAGTAACAAACTAAATAGCATTTTGGCGATGTCTATTGAAAAACAGCAATTAGAAACACGACATAATTGCTGCTTCTTCTATGAACTAACATGTGCAACCTTTTTTTTTTTTAAAGTGTTTTCTTAAAAATGAAGATTTTTTTTGCCTTTGACCTCAAAACAACAACAAACCATGACCGAGTACCTAGACAAACCTCACAATCTTCTAAGAGCAGCATGCATTCCACTGTGAAACCCCTTAGTTCCCATCCCCACTCTGCTACTGACTTGCTGCGTGGCCTCAGGGAAGGCATTTAACCTGTGTGTCTCTGAATGCGAGATGAGAATATTGATATTTACCTCCTGCATGGTAGCATTTTGAGGACTAGTTAATGTTTGTCAAGTGTAGTGAAAATGAAATACTAGTATTAGCATTCCACATGAAAGTGGCCTTCCTGAAAGATTTGAGCTCCTGCCACCCTCCTTGAGCTAAAGAAACTGTCATTGCAAGAATATCATAGAATCATAGAATTGTCAAGTTTGGAAAAGACCGTTAAGATCATTGACTCCAACCGTTAACCTAGCACTGCCAAGTCCACCACTAAACCATGTCCTCAAGCACCACGTCTACCTGTCTTTTAAATACCTCCAGGGATGGGGACTCAACCACTTCGGTGGGCAGCCTGTTCCAATGCCTGACAACCCTTTCGTTGAAGAAGTTTTTCCTAATATCCAACCTAAACTTCCCCTGGCGCAGCTTGAGGCAGTTTCCTCTCATCCTATCCCTTATCGTCCTATCCAGCCTGTCCAGGTCCCTCTGTAGGGCCTTCCTACCCTCCAGCAGATCAACACTCCTGCCCAACTTGGTGTTGTCTGAAAACTTACTGAGGGTGCACTCAATCCCCTCATCCAGATCATCAATGAAGATATTGAACAGGACCGGCCCCAACACTGAGCCCTGGGGAAGGCCACTTGTGACCGGCCACCAACTGGATTTGACTCGATTCACCACCACTCTCTGGGCTCGGCCTTCCAGCCAGTTTTTCCACTTATCAGTAGCAATGATGATATTGAACAGGCCCCGCCACAGCGCCCTGGGGAAGGCCACTTGTGACCGGCCACCAACTGGATTTGACTCGATTCACCACCACTCTCTGGGCTCGGCCTTCCAGCCAGTTTTTCCACTTATCAGTAGCATCAAAACCAGTATTTGGTTCACAGGGCAGCAGCCAGGGATTTTTCAGCCGAGTATGTGTAAGTAGGGCTGATTCCATCCGCTAGATGATCATGGCACATGTTTCTATTCAGGTTTTAGTGCCTGTTGCCAATGTATATGGAAATACACATGCATATAAGCATCTACACTTCTTTATATCCTCTTCCCACAAATGTCTGAAAATATTTCTGAAATGAAATCTCTAAGCATCTCACTTGTTTCTGACTTTAGACATTCTTTTAATTGCTACTTGAAAATTTCCACTCATCGTCTGTAGGAGATTCAGCAATATCTTGTTTCCTAACAGTGACACAATGAGAGAGTTACCATAGACCATACATGTAAACATGGTTTTACATATCTGCCAAAGGCTACCCCAAAAATCGTTTTCCTTCATAAAATATTATTGATGATGCTGTTCCTGCATTTATTTTCTGAAAGAAAGATTGAGGAATTAAAACTGGAAATGTGAGAAAGCAAAGAGCAAAAACTGGGAAATTGTATAAGCTTCAACGCTGCTTTGAATTCAGGGAAATTTACCCTTTCCAAGTTAACATCTCAGAGTTGTTTTCTACTGGCAAACAAAAATTCATAAAATTTGAAAGTCAGTTTTAGAATTAGGAAAAAAAAGTCTATTTAACAGCTTCCTAGGGTTAATTGTATTTCCCTCCACTCTGCTTATTTTAGAGTAAATTAAAAATCTTCTTTAAAACTCATTTCCTTTCTTCTATGTACAGCAATGTGATAGGAAAATTTTTTTTTTCTTTCTATGCATTAAATTGGACTTACTGATGGAAATAGAATGTACAGTATGCTTGAGAATAAGATGGCTTTGGAATTGCGTAATGCTGATCCCATAAAGCTGGGCTCATGCACCCTGTCGTGGGGCTCTTTAAGAGGTTTTAGAAATATGCAGTCTTGTCACAGTCAGTAATGTAAGCTAGGCACAAGAGTAACAAGACTGTCCAGAAGGGCACAGTGTAGAAAATACCTTCTTCTGACTGCCAGGCAATCTGCCAATGCCACCTTGCTCATCTCTGTGAGGGGTAGAAGCCGAAGTGATGCATGATCCAAGGGCCTTTCTGAACTGTTACACAGCGAATTGTGCTGCCATGTAGTTTGCATTTTTATCATGGAAGTAGAAAGAGAGCTTGAAATTAAGTTGCAACTTCACAGCCAACCAGCCTCTTGAAAATATGGCAATTCGGTTGTAACCACAGAAATCCAACCGATGGGTGAGGCACCATATATCCTTGCATCAGAACATATGAACTATTTTCTGCATTGTCATCGTGAAGTGCTTCTGAAAATGTGATCTCACTGTGTAATGTTTTTGTTGTGGAAGGTCTGGCTGGAAGCAAGGGCACAAGCACAAAGGAAAGAAATTCCCGGGAGAACTAAACCAAGCTCTTAATGAATACAAGGCATAAATAATAAATAACCTGGCAATAGCTATCCTAGGATTAAAATTGTGCTGTGGAGCTACTGGGAAAGACACAAACAGAATATTAAACAAAATCAGAAGTAGAGACCCAGAGGCGGAGGAAAGTTGCTATTCTCTTAAACTCTTTGAATTATACAAGTTATCAGTGCCCACTCCAAAATTCTTTCTCTAGATGAAATCTACTCCTCTGTGTGGACAGTTCTGGGCAGCTCTTGGCCTCCTGGGCTGGAATTTCTAAGAGAAAGGGATAACTCAGTTCCTCACATCCCCTTGAAAATCCAGCTTTTATTCTGTATTTCCTTTAGTGTGTCCATTCACATTTACTATAGGTTGATTCCAAAGAACACTCCTCTTGGCTTATTTTTCTTAACTAAGGTTAAAGGATTTTCAAATATTCCCATTCTTCCACAGAAATCACCTATTCATTAAATATTTAGACATGAAGAACAGGAGCACACAGGATTCAAAAAAGTCCATGAGAAAACTCTGAGCATTTGACACATAATATTCTTTTTTTGGGTTGGCTGGTGTTTTACATTTTTCTTTTCCCTGTCATCGGATAATTTCTTCTTCCTGAAGTGTGTTGTGCCAAGCACAAAACAATAACAACAAAAAAATACCTGCAAAAATCAATTTTCCAGCACTGATGAAGGGAAAACAAAGATGGCAAATAGAGAAATTTGAAGAGCCCATAATATATGAGAAAATCATTGATCCCAGACTCCACGATTCAGAATTTCATTTTCTGTGGGTCTAGAATGATTATAGGTGTACAGATATGGATTGCCAGTGTCATTCCAAAGAAATCTGTGGTCTCAAGTTAAAGCTTACATGTTTTCATGCAAAGCGAAGCTTTCATGACTCTCTTTTGTGTCACAACTCTTCCCAGGGAGGCGTATGATAGACTTTGCAGAGGAAATGATGAAGAGATGTGCCATAAGGACAGCTGCCCCCCTTCTGCCCCATCTCTCCCAGCTTCTTCATGCCGTCTGCACTCCCTGCTTTGTAACACAGCCGCCTGATGGGTGCTCTTGTGGCCAGAAAGTGCATCCAGAGATTAGCATAATATTGAGCAATGTTTATTTCTGCAAAACAGTGCAGGATCTGTACCTCTCTGTGGGATATTTGACAATGCTGTAGCAGAAACCTCTTTAATAGCAATAGGATTCAGTCTGTGAAGGTTTAAGTGTCAGGGGGAGGACATACTGCAATCAGTTCACAGGTTTCCCCCATACCCCTACTGTCTGTCGTGTCAGCAAAATGCTCAGTGTATCCTGGTAATTAGCAAATATCTACATTAAATACATTAAAAACTGAGTACAAATCTTCCTGTCTAGGCTATGTTCCCAAAAGATGTACCTTTGGTTTTTGTTTTGTTTTCTTTTTTTCCTGTAATTTTCAAATCTTTTACTAACTATAGGCTAGTCTGCCATGATGGATTTATGGAGCTTAAACTGAAGTATACTCATTATTATTAATTGCATGGTTTAAAGATCACGGCCAGGCCATATGAGATCTTTATTCACTCTTAACTGTAGATAGGCATTTCCTTTAAAAGCAATTCTTGCAGATATAAAAACATACTGTAAAATGATACCATAAGATTAGCACAATGGCCTTTAACTTTATTGTTGGTAAAAAGAAATGAATAAACAAAAATCTCAGTATCATTTCCATTGTTAGGGATATGGTGGCTACATTACATCAATGATCCTGAAATCCAGTGAACGGCTCTTCAAGTGTGGAGCTGTGGTGGCACCAATTACAGATATGAAGTTGTATGGTGAGTATTCCCTGCCTGACACCTGTGTGATAGTATATTGAAAATATCTTTTACTCACAGAGCTACTATTCATTTTAACTAAGGACAGATAATGTAGCAACATCAACTACATTTCAGCTCACTGTCTCGTTCTCTCCTTTAAATGAAAGGGCACCTAACACTGGGACAGTTTACCACAACATGCAACAGATACAATATTATTAACACCACTGATTTTTGCAAAGGCGTGTTTCCCATTTCCCACTGAAATTCAGTCAGGTACCTCATTTCCTAAGAATCCTTTAGGTGTATCAGCCTGAATCAAGATTGACAACAGGAATGAATCTTTTAAGGTTAGTGGTGAATTCCTTACGATGTCAACCATGTCGTCATTCAATCACAGGATATTTGGTTCTGTATGTGAAGTTTTGGGCACAGGGTACGGACTGTGGACTGTGATACACAGGAAATCAGGCCAGGTTACTTTAATGGTCTGTTAGTCTTTTCTTTGGTTTTTGGTCTTTTGTTTTGGGTTTGGGGTTTTTGGGGGGAGGGGTGGTTGTTGTTGTTGTTGTTTGGGTTTGTTTTTTTTTTTTAACCATTTAAAAATGGTTTAAATGGTGCATTTAAATGGTACATTTAAATGGTACATTTTGGTTTTAAATTAACATCTCTCTGTTGAATTTATGGCTTAAATAGCTTCTCCTGACTCTAGGACTCAGAACTGATGAGTTTTAAAATAGAAGTAATTTTGATGAATTCGCAAGTTTTTGTTTTTACTTTCACAGCATCAGCTTTTTCAGAAAGATACCTTGGTATTCCATCAAAAGAGGAAAATACCTATCAGGTAAGTTAGCATAAACAATTAACTTAAAATGACCGTATCACTCTTAAAAAGCAATTCAGTTACACCTTTGTGTGTGTTTGTTTACCAGGCATCCAGTGTATTACACAATCTTCATGGTTTAAAAGAAGCGAATTTGCTAATAGTTCATGGGACAGCTGACAGTAAGTATTTATAGATACAATTGCATTTGGAGTCAGAGGTTTTAATAGGCAGGCATTCAAAGACTGATTAGGCACACACCTAGCAAGTACATTTTTAGGTTCGTTATCCCTCCGATAGGATTTTTTATTGTATTTCAGTTGTCACTTCTAACTCTAAACTGATGGCATTTTTCTTTGCTGAATATTTGTACCTTTTAGGTGCTGTATGTTCTAATTTTTTAAATCTTGTGGACCACCGTCTTGCTAGTGAAAGGTATTATATGAATTATTAATAGAAGTACATACATTTTTAATGGTATTTTAAATTCATAGAGATTCTGCAATTGAAGAAAGAATTATCAGTACAGTTGCTGAAGTACAGCACCAAATGGGGTGTTAAACCTTTCAGCTAATTAATTAGAAGGTAGCGCCAAAGCATCTGAAGCCGAAGCTATAGGGAACCTTTTAATGGCACCAATACTTTTAGCAGTAGTTAAAGACAGAGAATGAGTAAAACAGAGTAAGTTCTAGCACTTTAAATGGAATCATGAGATGTGTCAATCAAGAGATAATTTGTAAGTAGAGGTTTAAATTTAACTGCAGTATATTTTTCTAAACTTTCTTAACTGACATAGGTTTAAAGAACAAGTTTCGATGCAGGCACAAATTACAGTGCTGCAACAAGCTCCTCTGTACAGATTCACATGCATACTTCTTTCCCTGGCATTTTCCTGGTGAATGTGGGATAACACAAGGTTTCTCACCCCTCAGTCTGGAGGAATAAATACCTTGCACTTACAAGGGCTGAGGTGAGAGTGCCCACACACCCAGTTGGCACAGTGAGGATGGGACCCGCCAGCCTGTCACCCTAGTGTAACTTGTCACAGCCATGTTATGGATCCCAAATGCAATCAGAGGGGTGCAAACACTGTCCAGTGTTTCCTCCCAGAGCAGGGGGGAGAGGGACAGAGGAGATATACAGGGTGACGGAGCAGGCGTGAGGGTCTCGGACTTTGCTGATTGTAAAAGGCAGCAGCAATTTCTACCCCACTGAACTCAGCGCTAGAGGGAATTGGGACTCTGATAGATGTCTGAGCAATACAGTGTATTCAAGGCTAGGATTCTGATTGCCTGCTGCCCTTGCTTAATATCACATCTAGTGACACTGCCCAGCCCACTTCCAGCCTAAGCTCTGCAGGGTTAGGACATGGTAATAAAGTTGCCTGTTTTTACCACACGAAGATTAAGTTACTGATATGTTGCAGAAAGTCCATTACCTAAAGAAGCGTGGGCTGTAATAACCCTGTGCAAGCAGTAGAAAATCCAATGTGCTTTCCTTTAGCACAATTATAAACTGTCATGATGGTCAAACAGAATGGTTTTACACACCTCTAAACTATCGCAGTGTGTGTAAATCAAGGGTAGAGAGAGGAGTCCGCATGGAGTGCCTGGAAAGCATGGCTTCCCTTGGGGCTTCCAGCTCCTGCTCCAAAACCTCTGCTGTTATGCCCTGCATCGCTGTTACTGCTGGGGCTGTGTGCTTCTGACCAGAAAGATAGTCAGCTTCGGATCCGGTAATTACAGAGGCTGGAAATGCTTTCAGTCAAAGCTGTTTAACAGATCAGTATTTCATATTAGCGTAGCATTTTCTAATAATATCCAAATGTTGTTGTCTTGCAGCTAAAGTCCACTTCCAGCATTCAGCAGAACTAATTAAACATCTAATAAAAGCTGGAGTTAATTACACTATGCAGGTATGTGCAGCTGTGACATTTCCTATGAACATAGTTCAACATTTAACCTCATATTGCTATTTCTTCCCTGAGAAGGACCCTTCCTACCACAACGCACCAGTATTATCTCAATTTGCAGTTAGAACTCTGTTTAGTCCCATTTTCCTTACTGTTAGTATGGATGTCAAGAACCGCATCTCCTTGTTGTTCTTCTGGGCTCTTTCTCCTCTCTCTTATCTTTCTTTTTTCCACCTGTTTATCCTACAACACTATACAAAGTGCTTTAGAGTCCATATGCACTCTTTGTGATATGGAGATATCACTTCTTTAGTCCCTTTTTACCTAAAAAAGTATTGGGTCACATAAAGCTAATTTCCCCTTATTTTCGACATTTTAATTTATTAAAAGGCAGCTAAAAGGTGAGCGTGCTGTTCCCTCTCTCCACAGCCATACGGAGGGTGAGGGTGCTGTGAGGGGCAGGCTGGGGAGAGCAGGTCAGGGCATGCTGCTGACATACAGACTTGCACGGGACCTACCGCAGAGTGGATGTTGCTGGCTGAGGGTCCTGATTGCATTAAACCTTCTTGAATATCTTAGACGATGTGGTTTTGGGTCACTCCTCCAAATCTCTCTGATGTTATACATTGCAGACCTCGACCTTACTGAACCTTATGTGAACCTGTAGTTTCCACTGAAGCGTGTGAGCTCACGTCAGGGAGGGGGTGGTAACAAGGCGGTTAGCATCACTTATGAAGGAAAAAGCACTTTATGTGTGAAATCTGAGTGGGGTAGGGCCTGTTCCAGCTGTCCCTGTGATTTCAGCTGAGGTGTATGACAGAGGTCTCTCAGAAAAGCCCCATTGAACCATTCTCATGCAACTTTGTGATAACCTGAGTTTGAGGAAGCAGCTGAAGCTTTTTGCCTCAGACCACCGCAAGTCTCTTGTCCTAAACCCTGTGGCCTGGATTTCTTCATTCAGCCTGCAAATTTTTGTTCAGCCTCACTTGGAGAAATTTCCAGTGGAATTTGAATGGAGATAAAAATGCCTACATCCACCCTAGGAGAGAGAGATGATGGGCTTTAGATAAGATAGGAAGATAGTTAAAAATATGAATAAAAACGTTTTTTGCTGAACACTTAGAAGTTGAGATGTTGAGAGGTCCCTAAAAGCATGAGGTAATTAATCCTCATTGACGTTAATGGGATTTGGATGCCTAGCCACTATTGAAAATGCCAGCTAAGTAAACTGTTGTAAGCACAATGACTGAGAATATAAATTTTTTTCACTTCTGCAGATCCCACTGCAGTGGTTGTTTTATGTAAGTTCAAATTCCAAGAGAATGAGCTTTACTTTGAGTTTTATTAGCTTTCCTTGATGCCATAAAACTAATGTTATCATCCTGTTGTCATCTAAAACATTTTGAAGATCAGAGAAAGAAAATTAGAGCCCTAAATATTTGGAAAGCCTTTAAAAAACTATTTACTTTTTTCCTTTCTCCTCTGCTAGATCTACCCGGATGAAGGTCATAACATTGCTTCTGAGAAAAGCAAATATCACCTTTACAGCACAATCCTTGGGTTTTTTAGTGCTTGTTTAAAGGAGGAGACACCAATTTTACCACAGGAACCTGAAGAGGATGAATAAGGAAGCCTATTTGTGTTGTACTGAAGGGGACTTACTTTGCGGCTCAATAAAACCTTAAATAAAAGTGACTGTAAGATTGCAGATTCTGCAGAAGCTCAAGGGCAGCTAAAGGATATCACAGTGGAACAGCACATTTACAGACAATGAGCTAATAAACTGGAATTCGACTACAAAGTCCAAACATATTACCAAGGGACAAAACCTTTACCTTTGTGGAAGGTCAACAGTTGGTTACAGTTTCCTGGAAGAACTTAGTTTTGCATAAGTGTAGGGTTAGTGCATGTTTGTTATGTTAAGCCTCACTGTTGGTTCTGTAAGTGGTTGCTCGTTTTTTTAATTTAAATGCACATCTTTATTCATCTTTGCATAATGCACAACCTATCATAAGTACTATGGCCACTAATCTTTTAAAAGGTGAGCTGCAATCTAACACTTTACTGTAATGTTACAATAAGTGCAATTCTTTCGCTGTCTATTACACATAAGAAACCACAGAGATAATAAAGGGCACGATATTTTCTCTAGTTTCTGCTCAAAGGGGATATATTGTCTAGTGCATCATACAACATTGATATTGAAAATGAGTTTTGTTCCCAATTTCAGCATTTACTATTATTACTGTACCTACTAGTAACCAATAAGGGACTTTTTGGTAGTGTACTCTTGGTCTTTATGTATATACCCAGGACTCCCTAAGCAGAAAATCTTTCTGAGCTTGAAGAATTTTTTTCAAGAAGTACTTAATAGCTGTATTTAAAACAATATCTGCAATTGAAATCTTTC